GGGGGCATATAAGGACTACCTTTACCCAAGGGAGCTCAGTATCAGAGTTCTCAGCCCTGATGATGCAAACTGCAACGTTTGCGAAACGTCTGCATATCGCTGATTCAAGACACGGCTCCATTCCGGAAGCTATATCTAGACATTGTATTTTTATAAATATTTTATTTATAAATATTTACCCTATAAATGTAATACTTCCACAATATGTTTCATTTTGTTGTCCAAATTTTCAAATCATATGTCAAACGATAATCACTGTCACTGTTACCACGACACGACAATATATCGCCAATATTTCGCCATATTACATGATGCAATGCAAATTAGGGTTCTCCGATATACGAATAACACATAAAGGATCCTAAATAGAACAGCCGGAATTAACTTCGGATCCACACGGATAAATAAGATTTATTTCTAAAAAATAAATTTGATTTCTGCAAATAAATACTACTTGGCTACAAATATTAATTTTGTTATAACTAAATATCATTTGTCGTGTCCCGTGTTGCCGGGACGCAAAAAGAGTTCGGAATCGGTGTTGCGGGCGCGGCAGAGTGTGTGGCGATAGGTAGGATTTAATAAAAGTCTTTAGCCACTAATTGTATTATATATAAAAAGGCTTTATTTATAAACCGTACTTAGACATGTTTAATTATTACTCCCGAGATCTTATAGTAATGCGCAAAATGCGCGTCTGGTACGCACGTCGCGGGCAGGAGACCGAGGTGTTAAGTCTGTCGCCGGTGGTCTTCTCCGCTCTTTTATAATATTGTTTAATCTTGTCGGAGGGGGTGCCTGGCGACAAGGAGATTACCATATTTGGTAATAATTTGGTGCGGTTCGGCTCGAAGTCCGAAATGCGGAATGTGCAAGGTGGTGCTTAGCGCAGCATTTGCACATCCGCTTTCTTGTTGTAGCGCAATCGAAACGGTTCCTCCTGAAGCGTTTCGACAGCGCTAATATTGTTCGCGATTATAATATATTGCTGTAAACAAATATACGTTTGCCTGAAGTAAATTAATTTTTCCAACAAGAATTAAACAATTTGTTTCTCACGATTAATTAAAAAACTTAAATATATTTTACAAAAATGTATATTTTGTTATTACAGTCAAATTTTTTATAACCAATAAATATGGAAGAAAATATTACAAGCAAACATTTCTTTCTAAATACTTCACATTTTTCTCTCAGTGTACTGAGCGCTATGCCGGCACAAACTTGTACGACAGTTGAACGCAGAAAATTTGTTAACACAGTTAGAAAGATTGGGTGGGTTACACAAACATCACTGGGTGCACGGATTATATATATTCGTTTGTCTCTTGTCACTAGTCTTTTCTGTCTACTACAGTCACTTTTATATGAAATATGATTGGCTATAATCTGATTGGGCACTACAGAGAAACTTTCTTGATAAATTTGACAAATGACTCAAATAAAAATTCTACCTCTGTCATTTATATAGATTAGATATAAAACATATACGATATCACAGTGCTTTCTAGTCATTTATCTATTTTAGCTAATTTCTCGTATCTAGATAATTTTCACTATGACTGCAAAATCATTTTTTTGAGTGTGACTTCCGAAAATCTAATAAGATCTACCGGATCGCAATTTCAGTCGTTTCATTCAGTTTCATCTTTTTATTCACTTATGGTATCATTGATAGTATAAAAAGTACTACAGTTGTGTGAATGCTCATTGCTATTGTAATATTCTTTTAAATATGTTAAGGATCTGAAAACATACTCCATGCCCCCATACACACAAGTAGAAATATGTA